TGCCCGAGCTAGGCTTCGCAATTGCGAAGCCTACAGACCTGCAACACACCAGTTGCTGCTCCTAAGTTCAATGCACTCCGCGGCCCTATCCAAAACCTCACCCGAGCCCCTCGAGGCTCCAAACCAAACATGCACGCAAGTCCAAAAATATCATACGGACTTGCTCGTGCGATCAAATACAAAATTAACAACAAAAGCTATGAATTTAGGCCTCAAAATCAATAAAATTTCTCAAGAACACCTAAAGTTACTATTTTCACAATCCGAGGGTCCAATTTATATCAAATCAAGTCCGTTTCCTACCAAATTTCACAAGATTAGATCTTAAACGTTATTTTAGAACCTGTACCGGGCTCCGGAACCAACATACGGGCCCGATACCATCACATTCAAGCATTAATTCAATTTCCAAACTTCCTATATTTTTCAGTTAAACAATTTCTTCAAAAATTCATTTCTCGGCTAGGGACCTTGGAATTCAATTCCCGGGCATACGCCAAGTTCCATATTTTTCTACGGACGCTCCGGGACCTCAAATCACGGGTACGGGTCTGTTTACCCAAAATATTGACCGAAGTCAACTTTAAATTTAATTTTTTAAAGGCAAAAATTAGCATTTTCTCAAATTTTTCACATATGGACTTTCGGATATACGCCCGGACTGCGCACGCAAATCAGGTGAGACAAAAGGAGGTTTTTAAGGCCTCGAAACACAGAATTGACTTTTAAATCAAGTGATGACCTTTTGGGTCATCGCAAAATATAATAGTATATTTATATAATATAATACTAAATTATTGCGGTATACAATATAACGTGATAATATAATATTATGGTATATAGTATATTATGCAACACTATAACTATTAAACTTTGTTTTCCTTTTTAAATTTCTTAAAATTTCCCACTAGCCCTCCTTTTTCAATTTTCGAACAGAATTCTTATGCTTTTTTCCAAAACTTTTCCTAAATGAAGTGTTTGATGGAGTTCTTATGGAGGTATTAATTGACTACATCAAAAGGAGATGAAGGAGTACACATAAAACAGTAATATACCTATTTAGTATATTTATATATCGTTTGGGTATATTATTGTCCTAGTAAATCCACTAACCACAATGGCTTCTTTCTCTCTCTTCTCTCTCTTCAAGTTTCTCTTTCCCCGCTAGTGCTCTCTCCAACCTTCTGATTTTCGGCGCCGGCAACCCCGGGTAAGTGAGCCTCTCTCTGTCCCGCTCTTCTCCCTCATTTTCCTCTCTCCTCCTCCCTCATCTCTCTTTCTCCCCCCTTTTCTCTTTTTCTCCATACTTCTCCATCTTTTTCCTCTATTCATCGCCGGGTTTTCTGGCCGGCGACCTCCTAGCGCCCATCCTCTGTCTTTTTTTTCTATTATCCTCACTCCCCTTCTTTCACTCTTACCCCCCATAAACTCGTCTCTCTTTCCCTGCTGATCATTTTCCGCCAACCCTTCTTGAGCCAAATTTCTCAGTTCCGAAACCCATAGCAGCCCCGCCGGCGACCTCTGTCCGGCGACCCCGTTGTTGTCCCTCCCTTTTTGGACTCTGTTCTAGGTCCCACCCCTGGGACATGGTTGAACAGCACCCCCTCCCTTATTAGTTTTCGTTGGTGGTTGTGTGTAATTTTAGCAAGGGAATAGTTGCGGCTGCCCAGGCAAGCACGAGGGTACGGGCGGAGTAGAGGCGGAGCATCACCGGCTAGTTGCAGTGCAAAGGTTGGGGGGAGTTTGGAAGGACGCACGACAGATTTACTGTGACCTTCGGTGGCATCAAGTCATATTTCCAGGTTCTTTGCCAATCGGGGAGTTGGGTACGCATCCGCCCTGTATCCGCTTAGTTTTCTTTCTTTTATGTTAGTTAAATTTGATGACTATTTTAATTAACATCACTTTAAGCATATTATTAGAGCACATTGTATAGTTGCTACCTGTTTATCTTCTAGTTTGGGTCTGTGTTAGTGGTTTTCCCCGGAGTTTGTTTCAGTAGGTATTAAGTGGTTGTGGTCTAGGATGGTAAAAGTAGGGTCATGTCCTCGAGGGGTGCCAGGGGTGAGAAGGGGGGTTAAGGAGGGGGTCAGTGGGATGGGAGAAAAACAGGAGGGTAAGGGGAAAGGAGGGAGCTTATAGATTGGAGGATCGGGTTTCGTGGAACATAGGCACGCGTGACGGGTAAGTCTATTGAGCTGGCAAGATTCTCCAAGAAGATGAAGGTTAATATAGCTTGTGTCCAGGAGACTAGGTGGGCAGGGTCGAAGGCGAGGTATGCGGACGGGTATAAGGTTATGGTACTCTGGAGTCGTGGGGGTAAGAATGGAGTAGGTATCTTTGGTGGAATAGGGATCTTAGAGAGTCTGTGGTTTGAGGTTAGGAGAAGTGAAATGATAGGCCTAATGTTTATTAAAGTTGGTGATTGGTGAGTGCACCCTCAATGTTGGTTTAGCGCTTACGCGCCGCAAGCGGCTTGGATGAGGAGGGTTAAAGGCGCTTTTTGGGAGGTTTGGATGAGATTGTGCGCAGTATTCCACCTACTACTGAAAGGTTTAATTTATTAGAGGGGATTTTAATGGCACCATATTGGGTCATGCTGCTAGTAGTTATGGCCGGAGGTGGCATGTGGTGCTTTTGGGATTTGGGGATAGGAACGGAGGAGGTACTGTCGCGTGCTAGAAATTTCGCCAAGGCTTTTCGAGCTGGTGATTGTGAAACTCCGACTTTTTTCGAAGAGGGAGGAGCATCCTGGTTACTTTCCAAAGTGTCGGCGGTGAAGACTCAGATTGATTTTCCTTCTTCCTCAGAAGAGTAGTGATAGAGGATATAGATGCAAAGGATTGCAAGGTTATTCCGGGAGAGAACCGCCTCGCGACATCCAGCATAGGCTCTTAGGTGATTGGAACGTCGGTATTATGATGAAGAGGAAAAGAGGTATGCTCGTGGCCGACCGAGGATTAGATGGGGAGCTTTAGATCAAGGATAAATCCTAGGAGTTGGATGGGAGGTTATCCGCTATGGGAGCTTGGAGAGTAGTTGGAGACGAGAGCACTATGTGGTCACGACCGCAGAACTGTGAGTAGATGGTAGAGGGAGGCGGCACAGAGAGAGTGCCTAGGGATATCGAAGGGTTAGTCTGGCAAGCACAGGAAGGCGACTCGTGGTGGAAAGACGTAGTCCAAGGTAAAGTGGAGGCAAAGAAGGTAGCTTACGCGAAGTTGGCAGGGGAGCAGAAGCGAGGAGGATGAGGAGAGCGAATAGAGAGGTAACAAGGTGGCAGGAAGGAGGCAAAAGCTGGCGGTCACGGAGGCTAAAGAATGGCAGTGTTTGGCCGCCTATACGAGAATTGGAGGAGAAAGGCGGGGACAAAAAGTTTGTTTCGGGTGGCTAAAGCGAGGGAGAGGAAGGCCCGGGATTTGGACCAAGAAGGTGCATCAAAAGACGAGGATGGTAGAGTATTGATGGGAGAGTCCTAGATTAAGCAGAGATGGCAAACGTACTTCATACTGGCTTTCTAAGAGCGAGGAGAGGGACCGGGATATAGCGCTAGGGGATTGGAGGCATTCGGAGAGTATTCGAGATTTTAGGTATTGCAGGCGCATTAAGGTGGAGGAGGTCAGTGCGGGGCTTTGCCATAAGATGAGTAGGGGTAGAGCGAGGGCAGAATTGAGAAATTTCAGTTGAGTTTTGGAAGTGTGTGGGTAGAGGCAGGATTGGAGTGGCTGATGGGATTGTTCAGATGTAATTTTTTAGGAACGAAGAGGATACCAGGAGGAGTTGAGGTAGAGTAATAGTGGTACCGGTTGTAAAATAACAAAGGTGATATCCAGTGTTATAACAATATTATAGGGGTATCAAGTTACTTAGGCCATACCATGAAAAGTCTGGGAGAGGATGGTGGGATATGAGGGTGAGGAAAGAACGACGTCTGTATCCGAACAATCAGTTTGGGTTCAATGTCGGGTCGCTCCACTACGGAAGCTATCCACCTTATTAGGAGGTTGGTGAAACATTACAGGGATAAGAAGAAGGATCTGCACATGATATTTAATTGACTTGGAGAGAAGCATATGACAAGCGTCCCTAGGGAGGTGGCTCTGGAGATGTCTTGAGGCAAAGGGCCGTGCCGGTGGCCTAATAAGAGCGATCAAGGACATTTAATGATGGAGCTAAGATTAAGGTTAGGACTGTGGGAGGCGACTCGGAGCATTTCTCCGGTTGTTATGGGATTACACCAAGGCTCTGCGTTAGCCCGTTCTTATTTGCCTTGGTGATGGATTGCATTGACACACCATAATTCAAGGGGATGTGCAATGGTGTATTGTTATTTTCTGATGACAATAGTTCTTAATTGATGAGAGAGAGGGTCGGTGTTAACGAGAGATTGGAGGTTTTGGAGACAGACCTCGAGTCTAAGGGTTTCAAATTGAGCAAGGCTATAGACCAGAGTACACTGGAGTGCAAGTTTAGTGCTGAGTCGAGGGAAGTAGGCAGGGACGTGAGGCTTGGAACATAGGTTATCCCAAGAGAGATAGCTTCAAGTATCTTGGGTCGATGATTCAGGGGGACGGAGAGATCGACGAGGACGTCACTACATCGTATAAGGGCGGGCTGGATGAATGGAGGCTTGCATCTGGAGTCCTTGTGTAATAGAGAAAGTGCCACCGATAATCAAGAGGTAAAGTTTTATAGAGCTGTGGTTAGACCGGCCATATTGTACATGGGGGCAAGAGTGTTGGCCGATTAAGAACACCATGTCCAGAGAATGAAGGTAAGCAGAGATGAGGGATGCTGAGGTGGATGTGCGGGCACACTAGGATAGCAAGATTAGGAATGAAGACATTGGAAGAAGGTGGGCGTGGCCCCTGTGGATGACAAAGATGCGGGAAGCGAGGCTCAGATGGTTCGGGCATGTGCGGAGGAGAAGCCTTGATGTCCGGTGAGGAGGTGCAAAGCGGCTGGCCGTGGTGGGTACGAGAAGAGGTAGAGGGAGGCCTAAAAGTATTGGGGAGAGGTGAATCAGGCAGGACATGGTACGACTGCAGATTTTCCGAGACATGGCCCTTTGATGGGAAGGTCTGGAGGTCAAGCATTAGGGTTGTAGCTTAGGGGGTAAGTAGAGCTTTCCTTACTTCATACAGGGGGTGAGGCGGGGTTTGGATTAGGTTGATCTTAGAATGGCTTGCAGTTTATGTTGAATCCACACTATTCTTTGCTGAGCCTGGCTCGCAATGCGAGCTCGCATTGCGAATAACCATCGCATTGCATTGACGTGGGCGGGGGGGGGGGGGTTCGCATTTGCGAAGCTCCATGTCGCAAATGCGACTCCAACAGTAATCGCAATTGCGAACGATGGTTCGCATTTGCGAAGAAACCAGGCCAGGCCAACCTTCGCAATTGCGAAGTCTTGGCCGCATTTGCGAGTTCGCATTTGCAAATCTGGCATCGCAAATGCGGTAACTGCGTCTGGGTAAATTGAAACTTAGACGGAAATTTTCTCATTTTTCAAATTCTTTCAAACCCTAAGCTCTCTTGGGCGATTTTTCAAAGAAAGGTTCTTCCCCAAATCATAGGTAAACAACTTGTAACTCATTTCTTACAATCTACTTCATCTTTTTACAAGGTTTCATCACAAAATCTAGGGATTTTCATGGTAATTTGGGTGTTTTTGGGTGAAAATTGGAAATTTCAAAATTTGGGGATTTAGACCTCAATTGAGGTCGGATTCCAAAACCAATTGCATATCCGGGCTCGGGGGTGAATGGGTAATCGAATTTTTGTTCGAACCTCGAGTTTTGACCAAGCGGGCCCGGGGTCGATTTTTGGATTTTTGGGGAAAATGTTGGGAAATTTATAATTAAGCATTGGGTGTGAGTTCTTTAGCATTTATTGATGTCATTAAACTAATTATGACTAGATACAAGTGAATTGGAGATGAATTCTAGAGGGAAAGCGATAGTTGAGGCTTGATTTGTGGCCTTGGAATTGAGGTAAGTGTTTAGTCTAACCTTAGCTTGAGGGAATAGGCGTTGTGCCTTATTTGCTATGTGCTAGTGTAGCGTACGACGTATAGGTGTGGTGACGAGTATCTATACGTTGGTGTCAAGCATGCCCGTGAGTGTTAAATTGTGATAGTCGTGATTCTTGATAAGTACTACAAAGGCCTAGAATGTTAGTTACACATGTTGAGTAAGACTTATGATCATTTTTTGTAATATTTGTCTATTGTTGAGCATTGGCTCTAGTTGAGGTTCAATTGTGAAGTTAATTGTTGGAGAAAGATTGGTTATAGATGATTCCCTTGCCGGGACGTATTTAATTCTTATTGTTGATTCCCTTGCCGAGACGTATTTATTCTTAATGTTGATTCCCTTGTTGGGATGTTGATTGATACTATTGTTTGGGTGAGGAAAGAGTGATAAAGCACGAAGGGTGATGCCGTGCACATTCATACTTATGCATATGGTGAGGAAAGATTGATAAAACACGAAGGGTGATGCCGTGCACATTTACATTGATATTGATGCATATGGTGAGTGATAATAGGCTACATAGACGATATTTACACCCTAATTATACCATGCT